CGCAGAGCAGGTGTGCACACTGAATTGGGCATTGATATGGTGACCTCCAGGGAACGGGGGCCACCAGGTTGCCTAAGGAGAGGGAACTGGCCCAGGTCAGAAGTTAAGGGAAAGTAAAAATTTTTAGCTCCTCAATTATTTCTCCTTCCTCCATTCCTTGTGTGTCAGGTCCCACGTGAGACAAGAGCCTGCCGATAGGACGTTGCAGTTCCACTCTGCTTATGTGTTTTCACCAATAAGGACACTGTGACTTCAGTGACAAGCCCATTGGCAACCCACCTCCTCTCATTCTTAGCTAATTCATCTCTCAGACTGACAGCTTAAAGCTGGTTTTCTCTGCTGTCTGGCCTTGTGTTTGAACCTCAGTGCTAATCCTCTTCATCCAGGGACACCAACACCTAACGAAACATCTCTGTGAGCAGGAAAACCTTTAGTAGATGAGAGACCAGATGTGGACATCTTGCCTGCTCAAGCCACCTGATCTCAGTAGAACTGGCTATGTATATACTATGTTGATGGTAACACAATTTTTTTTTCTTATCTTGCTGTATAACAAATGAAAAATAAGTTCTGAACAGAAGTAATAGTATACTCGTACTTTTTGCTGTTTTGAATTTTTTCTGATTGGGACTCTGATAGCTGAGATTTTTCACCCCACTTCAGTTCTTACACAGTAAATTCTGCTTTAAAGTTAATTTTGATATTTTTCCATTGCTGTTCTAAACACTGAACTGATTACCCTGACAATATGGACAAATTTAATCTTCTATATATGTAACTTGAGGATAAAGGTCAAAAAGGAAACATGTTCTCTCCTCCCTTACAGATAAGAATGCAAATAGCTAATTTCTTTTGAAGTTTGTAAATACAACATGATTTCTGTTTCTTTTTAATATTAAGTAGCCCAGGGGCTGGGGATTTAGCTCAGCGGCACAGCACCTGCCTGGCAAGTGCAAGGTTGTGAGTTCGATTCCTGGTACCAGAAAAAAAAAAAAATTAAATAGCCCAATGTGAGTGAGCAAAACTTCACCCCTCACTGTCTACATGGAATAGAAAAAGGGTTTTTTCTGACAGTTTTCTTAGCTATAATGCAACCAGTCATGTGACATGTGTTTCTTTGCTTTACAGGGACTGTCTATAAAGCTACTACTCCAGTAGACTCCAACTTTCTATACAGAGAGGTCGTAGTGCCCTTCGTCCCTGACCCTCAGCTTGGCCCCAAGAACACAGATTCAGTCTCTACCGATGAGGGTGGCTGAGCAGGAAAAGTGACAGTATGACATGCCAGGCATTCCCGGCAGAGGTCCAGAGATGTCAGAGAAAGGAGTAAGGACTTATTTCTGATGCAAAAGGAGACAGAACAGAAAGAGCAGATGCAGTGTATTCAGCATGGAGAATCACCAGGCTGGGTGATAGGGCAGGTGCAAGGAAGCCCGGAGGTGAAAGAGCTCACCAAATGACCCTCAAAATCCTCCCCAGCCCTTTGTCAAGTTATCAGACTCCTTAAGCCGCTAGCCACACAATGTTAGGGGCAATATCTTGAAATTATACCAAACACATATTACAGATAGCATACATATGGTGGAGAAGATGGAATGAAGTTGAATAACATGATTTCCATTTTTCCTGCAGTCTGAGCAGTCCGGCAGGCTTCCCACTTTTACTTCCTGAGAGCTTCTTTAAAGCATAAAATAGTCATTTGTGAAACTGCATTAAATTGTTATAGCCTCCACATACATTATCCATATATTACGTCATACATCCAAAAAGTACTTGTTCATTGGTGCCTTTGTCAAAAACGAAATAAATGACAAATGTCATTTTCCTCCTCCACCAACCCAAAGCTCGGCACAAACGCTAGCAATAATGATTGGTAAAGGACAGCAAATAGAGATTTGTACTTTGCTCATTTCTTTACAACGTGACATTATCATTTTCTATCTCCTGATGCCTTCATAAAGAAGGCTGGATATTGGCAGGGGCATTATAATATGTCTACAATAAGCTGATGGACAGTGAATTTAATGGAAAATCTTCAAGTTCACTCTTGAGGTTAATATGCCTAAAATACCTTAAAATAAATTAAAGCACTTTCTGCCTTAAGAAGGCATTAAAAATAGTTTGATGGCATTTTAGCTGACTTTAGAAGTAAGTAGCACAGTTCTTTGGCAAAAAGACCATTTGCAAGCCAGATAAGAATACAGATTTCTTGGGGCTGGGGATTTAGCTCAGTGGCACAGTGCCTGCCTGGCAAGCACAAAGTTGTGAGTTCGATTCCCGGTACAGGAAGAAAACCAAAAAAAAAAAAAAAAAAATACAGATTTCTTGTCTTCCCTGCATGTGTCTTAGAAAGAAAACCTTCTTCATTAATCATCATCCTTACAAATACCTTTCTTAAATTTTTGCCTCACAATATGTCCTTATCGATACTCCAGTCCTTTTCTTTTTTCTTTTACCTACTTTTAAAAGAGTATATACTATATTTTTGGTTATAGATGTTTCATATAAATTTCTCTTTCCCACTTTAGACTGTGGTTTCAACTTTAATACCCCTGAATAAATTATGTGAACAATATTTTCTCATTTACTTTGTTGCTATAAAGGTGCTCATATTTCTTGATCAAATCTCTCGTGTTTTTCCATTTCCAGTAAGTACAATGAGAGCAATTTGCAATTCCAATATCCTGCACTATATTTGAATTGAAACAAAAAGAAGCTTCCAAGAACAAAACCTTGCTGAGTGAAGTAATTTTAAATGCCTTTAGTTCAGATAAGATTTTTTGGTGAAAACAGCAGTAAAATGCTCTCCCTTTCCCTCGAGATTCCTACTGTTGTACCACAGAGGAAAAATAATCTGTAATTATAATGACTCTATAGGTACTCCAGGAAAGTTGGTGGCTCAAGGGCCATATTTCATGTTGTTTATAATATATAGGAATACGTTTTTGTTTTCATTGTGCATGCTGGTGCCCTCTTGTGCTTTAGTAATAACGTTATGCTTATAAGAAATGTTTCCACCTAACAACTTGAACCAAAATTAAAATGCTCACTGTCTGATCTGTAAATGCATTTCTATCTGATCCTAAAACTTTACAACAATACAATTCCGTATGCCCTGTCTTCCTTACCATCTCTTATTATAATTTCTATCAACCTTCTCTTTTTTTTTTGGTACCAGGAATCAAACTCAGGTCCTTGTGCTTGTGAGGCAGGTGCTTGTGCCACTGAGCTATATCCCAAGCCCTCTATCCACCTTCATAGCCAGCCAGTGAGCTCTTCGGTTCTGTCCTGTTGGCCATCATGTCCTGTGGTCAAACAAGGCATCATGAAGCATTGCATGGCAATGTGCAGGGAGAGCTTACTGTACTTGGCAAACAAGGGTCCCCACGAGAGTCAGAATTACGGTGGCTGTGTTTGGCCTCAGGGAAACTGGGCAGTGTAGTCCTGTTATAGGGTGCACACACACTGGGAGGAGGACTTGATCCTTTTTTCTTGCCATACGTGACATAAGCATTCCAAGTTCCAGACAGTCACTTTCTGGCTTCTGACAGGGCTCTAAGATGACAATGAACTTATAGTCATGAAGTGAATTTCATTAGCCTTTTATTAAAGCATCAGCAAAAGAGGGCATAGAAGCGGTAAGCTGGCTAAGCTCATGAGGAACACAGTATATATTATCAAAAGCCTTTATGTTCTCTAGTTCTAAAACTTCTAGTAAGTCCATAATACTTCTTAAAAAAATGCAAATTTCTTTTCTGGTATTCTGCTTCATTTTTATTTTTAAAAAATTTAGCCTAAAGCATAGTTGAAAGAAGACTGTATTAAACAGCCTTGTATCCTCCACCTGGCTAGCTCCACCAACTCTAAACATTTTTTTAAATTGGTGCTGGAGATTAAACCCAGAGCCACACATAGATCTAGCATGCAGTCTACCTCTGGGCTATGCTCTCAGCCGTACTGTGAACACTTTGTCACGTGTCTGTTTTCTTCTTTCTCTCCTCTGCCTCTGCTCACATGTACACACCTTTTCTGTTGCATCATTTGGAAGTAATTTGTAGACACAGTAAAGTTGTCACACAATCCTGGGTTGTAGTCAGCTGCCATTCCTATTTATTCTTTTTCTGGAACAATTCCAATACCAACTTCTTTAAATTGTTCAAAGTATAGCTTTTAAAAAGGATAGTCACACATCTCATGAAAATATAAAATGAATACATGTTAAAGATGTTATTTAACTTGTTAATCTTTGAGGAAATCAGTAAGATGTTAGAAACTAGTGCAAAAGAGAATCCAAAGAACAGCCATCTCTAAGCAGGCAGGAATGCTTCAATTTGCTTGAAAGTAGACACAGAACTGGCTTGCATCAGTGGTGGTGGGGTTCCACTCACATTTCTAAGAGACAAATTCTATCTGTATCTCTATCAATACAATTAATTTGCATTAATGTTAAAGTTATACAATAGTTTAGTCCCAATGAATGGCACATACCTACGGAATCATGTAACATAGACTGTGCTTGACAAGTCCAGTGTCTCACAAACACCCAGGAATCCTCTCCTGTTTCTATATCAAAGGCTTTCAGAATTTTTCATGAATGTCTTCTCTGACTTATGATGTTTTTTTGTGGGTACCTAGAATCGAGTTCAGGACCTCATGCTTGCCAGGCAGGTACTACGCCACTGAGCTACATGTTAGCCCCCAATTTATGATTAGAATGCTCTCAAAAATTATTAATGTCGCAAAAAAGACTGGTCTCATTAGGTTTTTCCTAACTACATACATAGGTGTGTTAATTTACTAGACAGCCCTCTCTGACTTTATAAATCTAGAGCCATCTAATGTGAGTTACCTTTAAAGCCACAAAATTATTTCTGAAAATTTTCACAACAAATTTTGGATTGTTGAAAGCCTCCATATTTGGTATTCTATGACTACAAAACTAAGTTTAAAACTCCCTCTGCCAGATAATCTATACAACTTATGAATGTGAGTGAACTCACCTCTTGAAGTCCTGAAAATCTATAAAGGCTCCTAAGGTGCCAGTAACTGACCTGACTTCCCATCTTTGTGGCTGGAGCCTGTAACCAGGCAACATGCAAGCTTCTGCGGAGTGTTCTGTGTGCATGTGCAAAATCAGCTCTTGTTCCTTGGAGCAGTTTGGGAGACCTGATGATATAAGAATCAGTCAGACAGACATTTCAAATGCGCCTACCTTGTACAATTCATTTGTCCAATTATTTTCTGAAAAAAGGGAGGATTTTAATTGAATCTGTGAAGACTTACATTGCCATGAAAATAACTTAGTAAGAATGTCTGAATTCTTACTGAAATGTCAATAAAAATTGGGTATTATTTTAAAATGTTTCATTTGAGAATAGAAAAGTAAAATCTACTAGATTTCTTGTACACAATAAAAAATAAGCATAAAAGACTTTTTAATATATACAGAAAATAAAATATAACATTAAGAAGAATATAAATAAATAACCAAAAGAAAATTTTCTTCACCCGTCCCTGTAATTAATTCTTCTGTGGGATACTGGATCAAATGTGTGACTTTATTAAAAAGAGTCCAAGAAATCCTGACTGAGCCAGTAATATATTTTAAATATATTAAGAAATCTATACTTCAGAGATAAATATTTGAAACGACATTAGTTTATAGAGTACTTGATAAGTTTTTAGTACTTTTCCAAAAGTTTCTAAGACTGTCTTTTGTTTGTCATTAGGACAGGAAATAAAATGTAATATTCTGCATCAGTTGACATAGTGTTTCTCCTGAAAGTAGCTGCACATGGGGCAGAAAGGCACTGTGAAATCTCCCAGTGCTTTCCATTTAGCATGCCAATTCTGAAATGTTTATATTAGTAACATTTTACAAACACAACCTAGGAGAGACTAGATCTTCAGATCTGAAAATCGTTCCTATACAACTCTTAAAATAACAGCACTTTAAACAAACCTATTTCCAGCATCTTTCTATTTCTAAGGTGAAAAAGAAAACAAAACAGAAAAAAACAAACTGGTGATTTTCCAGGACCCTTTGGGAAATCTAATAGTTTCAGGTTGAAAACATTCTGAAATTTTACTTTCTTTTTTCTACATTATGAGTCTGATTTGGGGAGGCAAAATTAAGACTTATTAGATGATATTTGAGTACTAGACGACTATAGGATCATGGGTGAGTGAAAACAAAACTCACTTCTCAAAGTGACAAAATAAATTTAGAATACAAGTAGAGAAGATTCAGAGTTATAAAGAACCTGAGCTCTTTCTTAAGAGATAAAACATTATTTTTGCCTTAAATAGTCAAAGGCCTAAAGTCATAAAGCACAGAAATTTAGGAATTTCAAACAGAATAAAAAATAATGTTTTATCATTATTCTGATAAAACAGATAATCTCTGTTATGTGGGCAGATTAGATAGAAGGTAAAGGATATGCACTTATGGAGTATATTTTTATATGGTAAGTCAGTTCATTTTATCATGGATGAAGGCATTACATTGTGAGTGAAGGCAGTATATTGTGAGTCAAGTATAATCAATAAACCAATGAAGCAAACTCATCAACACTGCATAATCTTTTCTGAAATGTTAACATATTTCGTAGCTTTTTAAAAGATACAGCAATTTTAAACCAGGATAAATTTCATTCTCTAAGTGTATTTCTCATTGTGTTTTTTCATACTGTGGGACAAACTGACACTTTAGTTTAGGACAAAGTGTGTCCCAGAGAACCCTGGGGGATCCCGAAATATTTTCAGGTGAACCAATGAGGTCAAAGTTATTTTCATGATGATAACAAGATATGTAGTTTTCCAGAGGCTACAGGATCACAAAGATACACTGGAGATGCAAATTTGAAAATCTGCCAGTTGTCTTTTTAAGCCAGATGTTGAAGACATTTTTATAAAAATGTGAAAGGGTGCCATTTTTCTCATAAGAATTTATGAAACATATCATGTAATTCATGTTAATAATGTCCACTGAATTACTGCTGTTTTCCAAGCAATATTTTTTTTAAATTTCTGTTTTAGTTTTTAAAACAACGAATATTGATAATTATAATCTATTTTATGAACTACATAAATAAAACATCTTTAGGTTACTCAGTAATTTTTGTATAAACAAGCAATTCTCAAAACTCTTGTCTTTGTTCTTAGGAGGAAAAGCACATATATTTTTCTCTGTTATTATATCTAGTAACACAATTGTAATTACTCATATAAAGCTCTAATTTTTAACTTCTATTTAAAAATATAATTCACAAAAAACTCACTGAGAACTGCCTATCACACATAAGCACTTTCACAGACTGGCAAAATTAACTGACACACAAAACATAGGTTGTTACAGTCACACACATACCTTTTCTATCCTTGTAAAGTGGCAAAACTAAATGTGCTCATTGCCATCACAAAGACAGAACTTTTCTCTAGCATGTAAAGGTATCCAAATTTGATACTATGCCTAGTAGTTAATGTTTCAGTATTCTTGTCATCTTACTTTGAAATTTTCTGAATATCTCATGATTTTCCATTAAATAACTTACATTCATGTTAGTATAAGGTTATAGGTTACCTAAATCTTGAAATCATATTTAAAGTAATATTTTACAAGGCATAATTACAGGTTATATAAATTATATAATTATGGTTGATTATAAATTGTATAAGTAGGATTCATTGGATACAACTTTACATTTTTCATAATCTTGAACATTATGTAGGCATACTGTTGGCATGTTTGAGTTATATAAGTTTAGGAAACACAAACTTATATAAAATAACACACATGCTTGTTTTGTAATTGACAGTGATATGAGAAAAGATAATTATATTTTCAGACCAAAAATGTTAAGCTGATTCAGTTGTGAAGAATTTATCTTAATTATGTAAACTTGGATTTTTTTATACTTCTGACTTTTTACTTTTAATCTAATATACTTAAAATGTTAAAAGTTTAGTTTTTTCCTATAAATTTAGGAATTTCAAGGTACAGAAGCATTTATTTATCTCTTTAAACATTATCAAAACAGAGCTCCTTTAATTTTAGGAGACTATATAGTTTATTAATGCTCTCCAGAAATAAATAAGCATCTCACCGTCTCACAGTGAGAAAGAAAGGCCTTTCCAAGTTAGTGACACAGTGATTCACAGACAGACGCTATATGCCAAGAATGGACATGCAAACACCCAACTCACTGGTCTAACTACTGAAGCTGCTTTTTCCCAGTGGGCATACAATTGTTGATTGATTTAGGATCAAAATAGACAAACAGGCAAATAAACAAAACCAGAGCAGATTCTTTCTCTTGTCACCCAACAGATAATACCTCCATCACCCAACTGCAGGCTTTACAAAGTGCCTAGAAGCCAGGTTTCCCATAACTGTTGCCCCCACTTGAGAATAACTCACTAGATGTTCACAAATCAGAATGAAAAGGAAACATAAAATCTGTAAGGGCACACACCACGCATCTTGGGCAAAAACTGTTATGGTGATTTAAAAAGTAGATAAAATCACAACTCCCAAACAAATTATAAGGAAGACATTGCAAGGATTTTATTTACCTCATTAAGTAATGAGGAAATAGTGTAAAGGACAATCCAAGGAGCAGAAACATGTATCTATAGTCATGCATGCTGAAATGAATCTCTTAATAAATGCAAAGCTGACATCCTTGGATGGGAAATCAATTGATCCTCCATAAGACAAACTTCATAGACATGAATGGGTGGGAGTGGTCTTCTTTAAACCAAGGGAATTGTTCTGGCATGTATATTGATACTACGGTAAGCTGAGCAAAATGTTTTCTGCTTCTTGACTTTTGCTACATTCACCCCCATACCTTGAGTGTTGGCTTATCTCTCTCATTATGCAAGTATTTTTGATAGACTTTATCCTCATATTTTTATCTTGGCCTGCAGTAGACCACCCTTCAACTCCCATCAGAGAGGACCAGACTGTTGATTTACAGTTTCAAAGCATTTGTAGATTTACAAAAGGATTTATAGAGCTAGAAAAAGATGGTAGAAGCTTTTCACTGTCCCGCTAAACTCTATGATAACCTTTTATTCAAAGGATATATATTTTCCTTCCCTCTTCATGCTCTGCAATTCCCTAATTGGTAAGAAATGAAATCATTTTGTTCTCTTGAGGTCACAGTTTTGTGGTAAGTCCTTCTCCAATATTTGATCAAATGTATTCTGATAACCATGGCTAGAGAAGCCTTTCTGCCTTCCAAAGGAGGAAGTAGAAATAATCCATAAGTAGTCATCATCAGTACTTGTTATAGTTTGTGTCTAAATGTCCACCCAAAGCCTCATGCAGTCATGGGGAGTGGGCTTTGCAGAAGAGGCTGAATCTAGAGTTTGTGATTAATACATGGTCCAATGCTGGGATTAGGATGTGAGTGCTACACCCGCCCTAGGGCAGGCAACCTGCAGACAATACACAGGATGGAAAGAGTCTTGTCTTTCTTTGTTTCTTTTGTTGTCTTCCACTACTGTGAGCTGTTGCCCCCTCTCATGTGCCATCCTGTCTTGGAGCCAGCTGATTATGGAGCGAAACTTCTACAAACCATGAGCTAAATAAACCTTTCCCTCCTTAACTTTGGGTGTCAGGTATTTTGTCTTAACAACAAGAAAGGTAACTAAGACAGTACTTGTATAATTACAAAATATTAAACATTGCATTTTCTTTTTAAATTGAGACAAACTGTTTCCTGTTTCTTTCACAATTCTTTCACAATTCTTGTCCTCACAGTTAACAGGGGCACCTGTCCCTTTCTCAGGACAGCTTATGCTGGACTTAGGAATGTCTGGGTGCTTCAGGAGGTAGAAGACACCACCAGCCACTGTCAGCTGTGATATGGGTGAAATGACCCTCAGGACATTTCACTGGAATGGTTGCCTTGATAATAGTTGCTGTGTGTCAGGTAGAGGCAAAGGACAGCAGACAGGAACTATAAGTCATAAGGTAGTGCTTTTTAAGAAAAATTTCTTTGTGTAGTAAAAATAATATAAAACTGTCCCCCTGGAAACTACAGAGCTAGTAAAGACAAAGTTTGGGTGACTACTTTTGAAAAACCTTCCTATTCTGAAGTAATGTGATG